CCGAAACAGAATTAACTTTATTTTGTGGAAAAAGTGGAGAATATTTTTCATGATTTTTACTCTTTACGCGGTACGTTAAATCACTTTAAAGGAACAGAGCCTGCTAGGTTCTAGGCGTTATTTTCAGCTAATTTAGGTTATAATTGCGCTACATAAAAAGTTTCATGGTTCAACTCACCATTAGAAATATTTTTTTTTAATGTTTTAAAACTAACGACTACAGTTTGATTACAACGACGGTGGCGCCACTCAAAGCGCACGATCTGAGAAGTTGCGCCAAAACCACTTTCAGCCAAGGCTACAGACCGAGGGTATTTCTTATTTATTCATTAAAAGCACAAAGGATTGTAATAATCTTATATAACACGACATATAGTTTCAGTTATAATAATGGATAAATTTGCCCTAAAAGAATTATCGTTCGGTCTTAAATAGCATTTTAGGTATAAATATAATTGCACTTTTGTGATAAGCCCTCGGTCATTTACCTGCAAATAAAAATGCAAATACGCAACTTTTCAGGGTGGGCAGCACGGTCGCGGGTGTCATGGCGCCGTTAATTTCGTAGCGTTGATGTGTAAAATAATTAATTAAGTATCTGGTGACAAATACATGTGGGTATAGACGATTTGTTATACAGTAAGTACAGTTGTATGCAGTAAAATCCTAGAGGCTACTGTCCCTTTAAGGTTTACGTTAACACAGCTGAGGAGACGCATGCGAGCATACTTCTTACGTTCTGACACAGGCATCTTGAACAACGAGAACGACCCATCTCTTGCCAATGGACGGCCATCAGAGGGTGCTGGAGATGCGGCAGTGGCTGTGGGAGTGAATGAGACTCTACCGGAGGGACACCAGACAATCATGCTCATAGCCGAGGAAGAGTGTTTAGATGGAAGCGAATACAGTCAGACTGCGTATGGTAGCAATCAGGTGCCACAGGGAGAGGAGCTAATAAGCCCAGAGGTAGTGCACAGACCCCTCAACGTGTACAGTAAAGGAGCTACAAATACAGTAATAAAATCCACGAGTAACACGCATTACAGGATGCTTTCACGGTTGTATTCCATTCCAGCACGGCTATTGTTGTCGTATTTTTTCAAGTGCTGATACTTGTAGTAGTGCGTGTCAGTGTTAAATGATTACCTAAAGTGGTGATGATCTTTGTATATTTCCCAGCATTCTATTTCATGTGATATATTCGTGTTTGGTTATTGGTGTGTTCTAATTGTCTGGTTTGTAAAATGGCAGGTGTTCAACAGAGTTGTCTCGCAGAAGGTTAAACTGGAGCGAAAACTGGAAGCCATGCAGGTTAAGTACAATCAGCTAGAGGGTGAAAAGTTGCGAGTTGAGACACAGCTTAATCAGGAAGTGGACGATCTGAAGATGAAGGTAGTTAGTTACCTGTTTAGCATTTAGTTGCCATATTCATATATGCAGCAATTGCATGTAACAAGTACGTAAACGTTGCACAAAGGGTTCTTTTAACAATGGAATGCTAGGGCATTATGTGATTTGCTGGCTTTTTAATGTTGGATGCTGTCGTGTCGTGTGATGGGTGGGTGTTAACACAAAATATAAGTAATTCTGTTCACTTTTTATGGTTAAATTGCTGCATTGTACTTCCTGTTTTACTATATATTGTTCGATGTGAACATACACTCGTGACTCATACATAGCCCATAGTAAGCAATTAATGTCAGGAACATAATTTCAAATCGTCCAGGTTTTTTGGATTTTTAACTAGTTGAGAAACAATCTTATCAGGTAGGAATTTGACGATACGTTTAGTCCCGTTAGTTCTTACTTTTAATGTAAAAAAATGGCAACAAAATTTTTACAAATTTTTATCATAGAAAATTCGTGACTGTGCTTAACTGACAACTGATCTGATATCTGATTGAACTTGATTATATTTTAACAGACTGATGGCATTTTAGTATTCAGTTATCGTGAGTCAAGAAGTTTTTTTTATGGTTCTTTCATCTCGAATATTTTCTTTGACTACAATAAGCTGTGGGCGCACTACTAGTATTGTCTAATGTAACTTTGTAACTCATACAGTACACGGATGAAAATGCAAAGCCTCTATCTATTATCACTGCCACGCTCATTCATCCCTGCACATTTCACAAAAATACACCTCAGAGTAATCCATACTCTGGGGGATACTTACTTGTGTGTGACTGTGCACTTGTCGTCCCAGTTTCTGCTACGTTCTGATGGGCTGGGTACATGTGCATGATAGAAATGTCCGCCATTTCGCCGGGAATGTGATTGGGTGCCGAATCCTGCTCTGGCAAGTGAAACATCTGGTTGACTTCCTACAATACGTCAGTGCTCATACTTGAATCTTGCCGCAAAATCCGAGTTGCTGATACCCACTCCGATGAGTTTCACTTGTTTCGGGTACACATCTTGAATGCAACCATCTGGTTTAACCACCCCCCACAAAAAAAAATTCTACCCTAGTATGACACTGACCGCAGTAGGGTTTCGCTTGTTTCTATAAGCAAATAAGTCTAGTGAGTCACTAACCTGAGTGATTTGTATTTGGAATGTCGTCTGAGGGTTGCGAAAGTGAGTGCGGTAGTGCTTAATAGCCTCATCGCGTCTGTTGAAGCCATTCCTGCAGCGGTAACAATGCCAATGTGCACCCTTGAAGCGCTTCTTTCCGTTGATCGCGCCAACGATCTCACAGCTGTCGCAGCATTGAAGGATTCGCAGACCTGACGGTAGCAACGATGATAATAAATGTATAGTCTGTGAGGATTGGAATTATTACTGGTAAACGTTGGCAAAATATCGTGCTGTTTCTGATCATACACGCAAGGACAGAATTGCATTACCAATTCTCTGAAAAAACAAACGAAGCTGTGATTAAATAAACGTACACTATCTTCGTTGATTTAGCGGGTAACTTTCGGCACAAGGTTTTTGTCCTATATGACAATGACAGAATGAGGGTAAAGACTCTTTTATAACAAGGCAACGAAATGACACCATCATTGTAGTTTTTTCAGTAGAAAACAAAAAATGCTACTTGGAACTCCCTGAGCTGCACCTAGATACAATAATGTAACCCAAACCCAGGATAGGGTTACAACGCGAGTCTATGGTTTTCTGTGGAGGAACCCCTGAGTGAATCACTCAGGGCGGTTTGCTGGTGCGTTTTCAGAGACTAGAACTTCCAAACTGGGTTTATTCTAAACACGAACCTTTCTCTGCTATCCTGGAACTTACTATGTATCACAATACTCTGTATTAAACTAATATAACCTGTTACAAAAATTCGAAGTGACAAGCGGTGGATCTATTGAGCGTAGCGAAGGAGGCGTGTACCCTGTAGGGAGGGGGAGGAAGAAAGGGAGGGGAGGGAGAGGAAGTTTAGAGTGGTACTAGTAGTAGTAGTGAAGGGACCTACTAAACAGCGAAATGTGCTACTAAACAGCGAAATGTGCAGGAATGTGCGCGGAATGTGCAAGAATGTGCAGGAATGTGCAGGAATGTGCGCGGAATGTGCGCGAAATGTGCAGGAATGTGCAGGAATGTGGTACTAAACAGCGAAATGTGCTACTAAACAGCGAAATGTGCAGGAATGTGTGCGGAATGTGCAAGAATGTGCAGGAATGTGCGCGGAATGTGCCAAAATGTGCGCGAAATGTGCAGGAATGTGCACGAATGTGCAAGAATGTGGCGTAATGTGCATCAATAACTGCCGCGATGTATCAAAATGTGTCAAAAATATTATACTAAACAGCGAAATGTGCTACTATTAACTAAAGTCTAAACAGCGAAATGTGGTACTAAACAGCGGAATGTGCGCGGAATGTGTAAGAATGTGGCGCAATGTGCATCAATAACTGCCGCAATAAGCCTTATCGCCAATCGTTAAATATCACCAGATGGCGCCCGCGCGCAAAGCATGATGGGATGGAAAAGGGGGCAACGATCGGCGCTCATAGATAATATACGCACGGCTATGGGTGATAGGAAAGGGTACTAACTATTATATCTCGCAAACGAGTTGAGTTACATGTCTAGAAATCTAGAGGAATATAGACACATGTCTTAGCTATAATCTCTGTAAATTTTCAGTTTGTTGAAGCACGACTAGTCTAATTAATTACTAAATAAATGCGAACCGTATCGCGCATAGGCGCCTATTGCGTGCAGCCGCTATACCGCACGCTATGGTGATAGAAAGGATACTAACTATTATATCTCGCAAGACGAGTTGAGTTGCATTTCTAGAAATCATGAGGAATATAGACACATGTCTTAGCTATAATCTCTGTAAATTTTAAGTTTGTTGAAGTACGAGTAGCTAGTCTAATTAATTACTAAATATATGCGAACGGTATCGCGCATAGGCGCCTATTGCGTGCAGCCGCTATACGCACGCTATGGTGATAGGAAAGGATACTAACTATTATATCTTGCAAACGAGTGGAGTTACATTTCTGGAAATCATAAGGAATAAGACAAATGTCTTAGGCTATAATGTCTGTGAATTTTCAGTTTGTTGAAGCACGATTAGTCTAATTAATTACCACAAATATATGCGAACGGTATCGCGCATAGGCGCCTATTGCGTGCACCGGCTATACGCACGGCTTGGGTGATAGAAAAGGATACTAACTATTATATCTTCCAAAGGAGTTGAGTTACATTTCTGGAAATCATAAGGAATATAGACAAATGGTCTTAGCTATAATGTCTTTAATTTTAAGTTTGTTGAAGCACGATTAGTCTAATTAATTACCAAATATATGCGAACGGTATCGCGCATAGGCGCCTATTGCGTGCACCGGCTATACGCACGGCTTGGGTGATAGAAAAGGATACTAACTATTATATCTTCCAAAGGAGTTGAGTTACATGTCTAGAAATCTAGAGGAATATAGACACATGTCTTAGCTATAACCTCTGTAAATTTTAAGTTTGTTGAAGCACGAGTAGTCTAATTAATTACTAAATATATGCGAACGGTATCGCGCATAGGCGTCTATTGCGTGCAGCCGGCTATACGCACGGCTATGGGTGATAGGAAAGGATACTAACTATTATATCTCGCAAACGAGTTGAGTTGCATTTCTAGAAATCATAAGGAATATAGACACATGTCTTAGCTATAATCTCTGTAAATTTTAAGTTTGTTGAAGTACGAGTAGCTAGTCTAATTAATTACTAAATATATGCGAACGGTATCGCGCATAGGCGCCTATTGCGTGCACCGGCTATACGCACGGCTATGGGTGATAGGAAAGGATACTAACTATATATATCGCAAACGAGTTGAGTTGCATTTCTAGAAATCATAAGGAAATATAGACACAATGTCTTAGCTATAATCTCTGTAAATTTTAAGTTTGTTGAAGTACGAGTAGCTAGTCTAATTAATTACTAATTATATGCGAACGGTATCGCGCATAGGCGCCTATTGCGTGCACCGGCTATACGCACGGCTATGGGTGATAGGAAAGGATACTAACTATTATATCTTGCAAACGAGTTGAGTTACATTTCTAGAAATTATAAGGAATATAGACAAATGTCTTAGCTATAATGTCTGTTAATTTTCAGTTTGTTGAAGCACGATTAGTCTAATTAATTACCAAATATATGCGAACGGTATCGGCCGCATAGGCGCCTATTGCGTGCACCGGCTATACGCACGGCTTGGGTGATAGAAAAGGATACTAACTATTATATCTTCCAAAGGAGTTGTTACATTTCTGGAAATTATAAGGAATATAGACAAATGTCTTAGCTATAAGTCTGTTAATTTTCAGTTTGTTGAAGCACGATTAGTCTAATTAATTACCAAATATATGCGAACGGTATCGCGCATAGGCGCCTATTGCGTGCACCGGCTATACGAACGGCTTGGGTGATAGGAAAGGATACTAACTATCATATCTGGCTAACGAGTTGAGTTACATTTCTAGAAATTTAGATGAATATAGACACATGTCTTAGCTATAATCTCTGTAAATTTCAGTTTGTTGAAGGCACGATTAGTCTAATTAATTACCAAATATATGCGAACGGTACGCGCATGCATACTGACGCCTATTGCGTGCAGCCGGCTGCTAACCGCTCGTGGCGGCGGCGGCGCTAGTAATGCCCCTTTTCCTATCCCATGACGCATTGCTGTTCCGATGGCGATAAGGCTTATGTAATCAAAATGTTAAAAAATATTATACTAAAACCAGCGAAAAATGTCTACTAACAGCGAAATGTGGTAACAGCGGAATGTGCGTGGAATAGGTAAGAATTGGTGGCAATGCCGCACGATCAATAAACTGCTCGCGAATGTAATCAGAAATGTGTTAAAAGAATTATAGGCTACTAAAACCAGGCGGAAAAGTGTGCTAACTAATTTTACAGCGAAATGTGCTACTAACAGCGAATGTGCGTGAATAGGTAAGATGTGGTGCAAATGCGCATGCAATAACGGTCCGCAATTATCAAAAATGTGTAAAAATATTATACTAAACAGCGAACATGTGCTAGCTAAACAGCGAAAAATGTAACGTGGCTAACAACAGCGGAATGTGCGCGGAATGTGTAAGAATGTGGCGCAATGTGCACCAATAACTGCAAACTCCACGACAGATGGCGCTCTCGCTCTGGCTCAATTCTACAATTCATGGCTTCAATTCTCTATTCAATTCTGTATTATCCTGAGTGTGGGAAGGGGCACTGCATGCAGTTTGCAATAACTGCCGCAATGTATCAAAATGTGTAAAAAATGTGTAATAACAAAAGCGAAATGCTAGCTAAACAGCAAATGTGTAAGAATGTGGGCGGCATTGTGTCTCAATACTGCCGCAAATGTATCAAAATCGTGTAAAAAATGTTATACCTAAACCAGCGGAATGTGCGCGAATGGGTAAGTATGTGGCGCAATGTGCATCATAAACTGCCGCGATGTATACAAATGTTATAAAATATTATACTAAACAGCGGAATGTGTACTAACCACGGAAATGTCGGTGAATAGGTAGAATGTGCGCAATTTGCATCAATAACTGCCAGCAATGTATCAAAATGTGTCAAAAATATTATAAATAACACAGTGGAATGTGCACTAAACAGCGAAATGTGGTACCTAAACAGCGGAACTGTGCGTGAATAGGTAAGAAACCTCCTAACAACCGCGAAAATGACGGCGAAATGAACGCGAATGACTGCAAAATCATCATACATAAAATTAAATTAAATTAATGTTTTTATTAAATTAAAGTTAAATTGTTATTAAATTATCTTAAAATTAAATGAAAATGCTAATTAATTTGTAATTAATTAATTTAAATGACGCGATAATGTCCGTGAAATGACGCGAAATGAGGGTCTCTCTCCCCCTCTCTCTCTCTCTCCTTCTCTCCTCTCTCTCTCTCTCTCTCTCTCTCTCTCTCTCCTCTAAAGTCTCTCTCTCCTCTCTCTCTCTCTCTCTATCATTTCCTGCTCCTCTCTCTCTTTCCCGCTTCTCTTCTCTACTCTCTCTCTCTCTCTCTCTCATCTCTCTCTCTCCTCTCTCTCTCTTTCTCCCCCTCTCGCTCTCCTCTCGTCTTCTCTCTCCCCCCCCTCTTTTCTCTCTCTCGCTCTCTCCCCTCCTCCCGGGGCATGGTACTTTCTTTGTGGCGCGTGCTAGCAGATGCTACTCTCTCTTTTGGTCGCCTTTTCTGTACGAAGAGGTTCAGTCGACTTTTGCAGGTTTTTTTTGGTAGGTGTTCGGTGTTGAATGCTTCGTCTTCCGGGTTTCGCTATTGTTTTTGTGTTGTAGCAGGCTTTCTCGTTGTGCTTCGTGCTCTTCATGGTTTCTCGTGCTTTCTTTCTCATCGTGGTCTCAGTGTTTTGTCGCACTGTCTAATTCAGGTTTGGTCGTTCGGGGTCTACTTCTGCGCTTTGCGTCTTCTTCGTCACGGTGCGAAGGTCCTATAGGTCTCATTGAGTCTTGTGTTCCGAGAGGTGTGGGGGTACTTCGGCGTGGTTGTTTTATCGCTTTGGGTGTGGTGCATTGGGTAGGCTTGGATTGAGTCTGTGGTAGAGTTAAGTGAGATCGGTGGAGTTGTCAGATTGTGGAGTTACTTTCGATTTCGTGGCGTAGTGTGTGAGTTATAGGATCGTCGGATGTCTATTGGTTCGTGCGTGGAGTCTGCGTACGTGAGTTGGAGTGTGATTATTCGATCGTGGGCTAGTGGTGGTCCGTGGAGTTTGGTGGGTATGGTGGTGTTTCTCTGCCTCCGCTGGTGTTAAGTTAGGCTTCTGTGAAGTTGTTGAGTCCTCTCGTGTGGCTGTCGG